TTACAAAAACAATACATACACACAGACGCGAAATTGCACTTTGCATACGCAAGCAAAAATATGCCCGACAACGCTACTGGGAAAAACTGAATGAGTAAAACTTTGAGCCTACAAAAATTAAGTGACCCACGCCAATTATGAGTCAACATAATTACTAAGTGATGCAAGCCAATTATCCACCCTTCCCCTTCCATATCGGTTACCCAGTACACAATGGTTTGTGTTTTCGGCGACTTCAAAATTCATTTTCTGATCCTTCGCCAATCGAGACGAATGCTTCAACGATTTTACTATCTGGTATTATGGTCATCGGGAATTTCAAATTTTTGCTTGGATATTTCAAACGATTGCTCTAATTAGAACGGGAGTTCAAACTTTACCCACTGAAACCAAATTTGTACCCAGAGGCTAAGCGAAGCAAAAATTTGAAAATACAAAAAATTCAATCACAAGAAAACAGACGCGAAACACAACCACTAGCAATAATCAAGCGTTTAGTATTTACCGAGCGTCGACTAAGCTAACAACACGTAGTTAGCCGCCAATCAATCCAAAAACAAAACTGCCGAACAAAATTGTCAATAAAAATCAACTAATTTTTTTTTGCAAAACGAAAAATTCAATATCAGAAAAACTGACAAGAAACACATGAACTAGCATTAAGCAAGCTTTTAGTATTTTTGAGGGTCCAAAAAGACAACACGTGGTTAGACGCCAACGGATTCGGGCCAACAAATCAAAGGAAAAAGGTGTCATAAAAAATTATTATTTTTTAAAACACGCAAAAAACGCAGTCGGTAGCGTTAAACAAGCTTCTAGTGTTTTTCAAGCGCTCACTAAGTCGATAACCCGTGGTAATGTGCCAACTAATCCGAAAACAAAAATGTCATAACATATTGTTGTCATAAAAAAGTTGAGCATTTAAAAAAGTTCACCTTTTAACTTTTAGTCTACAAGCCGAGCTGATTTATTTAAAACAAGAATGATAATTTTTTTATCTTAATACGGATGCAAAATAAGATCACTAGATCGATAAAAGAAGAGCCGAAATCATTCAAGCCGAATAAAATTTCTAAGCGAAAAAAAAACGGAAAATATACCAGTATAGTAATTATAAAAACTATAGTTAATCAAGGCCACTTGAGACTACAAAAGAAGCTGTTTACAGAACAAACAAATTGTGAGGAGGCAACTAAGCCGACAGAACATAAGTCAACAAACTATAATCTGACTGATCAAATTTTCCAAGAAAAAATTCAATTTCAGCCAAAAATATAAGGCCCGGCCGGGACTCGAACTCCTGACATTCGATTTCAAATGCAACTGCATTATCTGCAGACCAATGGGGTCTGGAAGTTGCTAAGGTTAGATAAAAAAGCAGCATCAATTTCAATTACGAACACGTAACAAAAGTTGTTTACGTGAAAAAGTTTAATTACCGACTACAAGACACTTGCTCTCGCAGGTGTATGGATTACAGATTAAATCAAAATTAAAAAAAACGCTTTCAATTACAAAAACAATACATACACACAGACGCGAAATTGCACTTTGCATACGCAAGCAAAAATATGCCCGACAACGCTACTGGGAAAAACTGAATGAGTAAAACTTTGAGCCTAGAAAAATTAAGTGACCCACGCCAATAATGAGTCAACATAATTACTAAGTGATGCAAGCCAATTATCCCCCCTTCCCCTTCCATATCGGTTACCCAGTACACAATGGTTTGTGTTTTCGTCAATTTCAAAATTCATTTTCTGATCCTTCGCCAATCGAGACGAATGCTTCAACAATTTTACTATCTGGTATTGAGGTAATCAGGAATTTCAAATTTTTGCTTGCATATTTCAAACGATTGCTCTAATTAGAACGGGAGTTCAAACTTTACCCGCTGAAACCAAATTTGTACCCAGAGGCTAAGCGAAGCAAAAATTTGAAAATACAAAAAATTCAATCACAGGAAAACAGACGCGAAACACAACCATTAGCAATAATCAAGCTTTTAGTATTTACCGAGCGTCGACTAAGCCAACAACACGTAGTTAGCCGCCAATCAATCCTAAAACAAAACTGCCGAACAAAATTGTCAATAAAAATCAACTAATTTTTTTTTGCAAAACGAAAAACTCAATATCAGAAAAACTGACAAGAAACACATGAACTAGCATTAAGCAAGCTTTTAGTATTTTTGAGGGTCCAAAAAGACACAACACGTGGTTAGACGCCAACGGATCCGAGAAAAAAACAAATCAAAGGAAAAAGGTGTCATAAAAAATTATTATTTTTTTAAAACACGCAAAAATCAATCTCTGAAAAACAGACGAGAAACGCAGTCGCTAGCATTAAACAAGCTTTTAGTGTTTTTCAAGCGCTCACTAAGTCAACAACCGGTGGTAATGTGCCAACTAATCCGAAAACAAAAATGTCATAACATATTGTTGTCATAAAAAAGTTGACCATTTAAAAAAGTTCACCTTTTAACTTTTAGTCTACAAGCCGAGCTGATTTATTTAAAACAAGAATGATAATTTTTTATCTTAATACGGATGCAAAATAAGATCACTAGATCGATAAAAGAAGAGCCGAAATCATTCAAGCCGAATAAAATTTCTAAGCGAAAAAAAAACGGAAAATATACCAGTATAGTAATTATAAAAACTATAGTTAATCAAGGCCACTTGAGACTACAAAAGAAGCTGTTTACAGAACAAACAAATTGTGAGGAGGCAACTAAGCCGACAGAACATAAGTCAACAAACTATGATCTGACTGATCAAATTTTCCAAGAAAAAATTCAATTTCAGCCAAAAATATAAGGCCCGGCCGGGACTCGAACTCCTGACATTCGATTTCAAATGCAACTGCATTATCTGCAGACCATTGGGGTCTGGAAGTTGCTAAGGTTAGATAAAAAAGAAGCATCAATTTCAATTACGAACGCGTAACAAAAGTTGTTTACGGGAAAAAGTTTAATTACCGACTACAAGACACTTGCTCTCGCAGGTGTATGGATTACAGATAAAATCAAAATAAAAAAAACACTTTCAATTACAAAAACAAAACATACACACAGACGCGAAATTGCACGTTGCATACGCAAGCAAAAATATGACCGACAACGCTACTGGGAAAAACTGAATGAGTAAAACTTTGAGCCTACAAAATTTCTAAAGTGACCCACGCCAATTATGAGTCTACATAATTACTAAGTGATGCAAGCCAATTATCCACCCTTCCCCTTCCATATCGGTTACCCAGTACACAATGGTTTGTGTTTTCGGCGACTTCAAAATTCATTTTCTGATCCTTCGCCAATCGAGACGAATGCTTCAACGTTTACTATCTGGTATTGAGGTCATCAGGAATTTCAAATTTTTGCTTGGATATTTCAAACGATTGCTCTAATTAGAGCGGGAGTTCAAACTTTACCCGCTGAAACCAAATTTGTACCCAGAGGCTAGGCGAGGCAAAAATTTGAAAATACAAAAAATTCAATCACAGGAAAACAGACGAGAAACACAACCACTAGCAATAATCAAGCTTTTAGTATTTACCGAGCGTCGACTAAGCCAACAACACGTAGTTAGCCGCCAATCAATCCAAAAACAAAACTGCCGAACAAAATTGTCAAAAAAATCAACTTGTTTTTTTTTGCAAAAATGAAAAATTCAATATCAGAAAAACTGACAAGAAACACATTAACTAGCATTAAGCAAGCTTTTAGTATTTTTGAGGGTCCAATAAAACACAACACGTGGTTAGACGCCAACGGATCCGGGAAAAAAACAAATCAAAGGAAAAGTGTGTCATAAAAAATTATTATTTTTTGAAAACACGCAAAAATCAATCTCTGAAAAACAGACGAGAAACGCAGTCGGTAGCATTAAACAAGCTTTTAGTGTTTTTCAAGCGCTCACTAAGTCGACAACCCGTGGTAATGTGCCAATTAATCCGAAAACAAAAATGTGATAACATATTGTTGTCATAAAAAAGTTGAGCAATTGAAAAAGTTCACCTTTTAACTTTTAGTCTACAAGCCGAGCTGATTTATTTAAAACATGAATGATAATTTTTTATCTTAATACCGATGCAAAATAAGATCATTAGACACATTTTAACTAGTATACGAAAAAGTTCATTAAAAACATCCGACCCTGCCAAGTTTCGAACCCTCTTATTTTCTTGCTGGTCTCCTTCCCTACTTCTACGCTACAAATCCATGATCTTTGAAGCTAAAGTATTATTTATAATATAATATTCTGTGTTAATATCCTTATCATTGGCTGTACTTAATAGCTGGATCAAAGTGAACACTTTCAAAATGAACACATTTTATCGCAACAATTGCATCGCAACAATATTTGCGACTTAGGTTGAAAAAAAGACAGTTCATACTATAACACCAGCTATGCTTGTGTAAACACAAGAAAAGTAAAACACAGATGTGACTAAGCCGCAACTAAGCCGACAAACCATAAGCAGACAAACTGATAACAATTAACAAGAGCTATTTTACCGGAATTCAAATGATTTTAACTGTAGTACAGTTATTTGGCAATGAGATTCTTCTAGGGACTTATATTGCCAACTGATTCTAATTTATTGTAGGTTAAGATATGGCAGAAAATTTAAGCTCTCAAATTTCCAAACAATACACAAACAGACCGTTTTCCTCAAAAAATTATTGCTTGCACCGAAGACCATTTTTGCTAAACAGTGTTTCTAACAAATTCAAAAAAAAAAATGTCGGCTTGAAAAGGTTGAAACAATAAGCCAACCCCCTCATACCTCAAAAAAAAACCCGCCCACTGGTTCTATGGAAATATTCAACATACACGATTTCAAAATGAAAAACTGAATCTAAAACGACTCCCCTATAGCCTACAGAAAGTTTGAGAAAATTAGATTCATTAAATGGAACTCGACTCGATTCCCCTTAAAGTAGCCGCAATTACAACTGAACTAAAATTGAAGGGTGTAGTAGCGTAATTAATTACTGTTTGAATGGCCTCTCTCTGTCTGTCGTGGGTCTTCCAGCGGGGGGAGGGTGCCCAGCCACTCAATCGCGGCTCGTACCTCCTCACCATTGATGGCTTCTGCTGCGGAGTTCTCTGCAATTCGTCGCATCTGTTCACCACCTAAAGTAGTTTCAATAGTAACTAGCAAGCGTGTCTCCAATTGTCGATCGGCTCGCAAAATGTTGGTTGTTGTACTGCTCAAACAATTCAAGTTTTTCTAAGCAAGCTATTACAGCTAAAATTATATAGAAATATTTAAAGTTTTATTATGTAGCGAATCAGTCCACGAAAATTGAAATTTTTTCGTAATAAGCTAGTCAAGCGATGGAATTTGAAACCTTTAAAGTTATTTTTTCGAACTGATACGTTTTCCGAGATTTTACGTTTTCCTACGCAAACTGTTCGAGCAATGAAATTTTAAAAGTTTTAAAGTTACTTCATTCGAGCAATGAAGCCATTCGAGCAATGAATATATCAAGTTGGTTGTTAGACCAATTCGTTCCACAAAAAAAGTTTCTTGGGCAGCTAATCGCTCAATAACTTGGAAATATTCTAATTTGCTTTCAAGACAGAATGGTTTTGCGAAAACTTGAACATTGACTATGCAAGCTGCTCAAGCGAGGAAACTTTGAATTATTTCAAGTTGCTTCATGAAGCGAATCGCTTCAAGAAAAAAAAAGTTTTTCTTAGGCAAGATATTCAAGCTATGAATTATTTCGAACTATTTCAAAGACCGAGTCTGTTCCGAACATGGTAAAGTTTTCCTAAGCAAGCTGTTCCAGCTTTAAATTAGTATTTAAAAGCTTTAAAAGTGATTTTGCAGACCATATCGCGAAAATTTTAGGGTTTTTTAAAGCAAGCTGTGAAACTTAAAGGGAATCAGTTCAAAACTATTAAGTTTTTCTCAGCTGAGCTAATCAATCTAACAAAACTTTGAATTATTTAACTTGTTTCATGAAGCGAAACGGTTCACGAAAATAATTAAGTTTTTTTTCAAGCCAAGATATTCAAGCTATAAAATATTTCAAGTTGCTTCATGGACCGCGAATGGGTTCGCGAAAAAGCTTTTCGAAGCAAGCTATTCAATTCATGAAAGTTTAAAATGATTCAAGTTATTTTTTAGTGAATCAGTTCGAGAAAAGTTCATGTTTTTCTAAGCAAGATATTCCCGCTCTGAAGCTTCGTAATATTTCAAGTACTTCTTAGACAGAAAATCGGTTCGCCAAAAGTTAATTTTTCTAGGCATGGTGGTTGCTGTTTTTAGAAACAAATCCGTAAACACAAAATTTTGGACAAAAAAGGGCGGGTGCTGTTTAGCCCTGCAGTTGAATTGAGTTCATCGCTTTTATAGAGTACCGGAAATTTTCAAAACGATTCTGGAATATTCCAGACTTAAGAAGATTCGATGGTTGCTCTGAACGATCTTTAAACGTTCTGGTCTACGCCTTCTGAAACGTTGAGCTCGGTGGGATTTCTTAGCCATTGCGCCAAGCCTTATGACTACAAAAACATGATATTCGATTAAAAAATGGATAGAAGATAGATAGATTAGAGTGTGGGTTGGCATGCAATAAGCAAATTGGACAAGAACACCCTTTTTGAACAAACTTAGGTCCGTTTTTGAATAAGGAGCCACTTTAGACGAGAAATTTTTCTGATATGGCTTAAAATTTCCCTCTTCATCTTCAAGCTTCACTTGAATTCAAAAGCCGGATCATTCAATGGCATGCTTTCAGTTTGCCACAGCCTTAAACTGCTTTGCTTGTTCTGCAGAGTTCATTAGTTTGATTGTCTAACCTAAAGCCTGATAAATGATGTCCCTATTTAAAAGAACGAAAGAAAGAATTTATTTCTCCAAGTCTTGTAACAAATTCAAAAAAATTTAAATGACAAGCAAATAATTTAGCACTGGAGAGGATAGCCAGAAGGTATATGAAAAGCCCACTGATAAGCTACCCTTAAGCAAAAATACAGTGAACTTAAATATCAAACATCATAAAAATTTGAACAAAAATAAACTCTTCAGTGAAAATCTATTTATCGAACATAAACGATTCGATAAATAAGTTACAGCTGCTGATACTGCCATGATATATAGTATATTTGAGACCTAGCTACTAACAGAAAACACACAGGAAAATACACACCAAGAAGAACCGAAAACCAAAAGAAGAAACAGACGACATTTTTTTTCCTTTTCTCAATTCTCTGTTAACTTTTTGAAACCAGCATTGTCTAGAAACTCTAAGGATTTTGACGGCCAGATTTTCAATCAGACAGCTCTAACTTTAACATCATAGTGCGAAATCATTTCAAGAAACTATATGGAAATTTAATTAAAAATGAATCATAATAACTAAGTAAAACTGAAAAAATTAAAAATTTGAAAAATTGCGATTTCTCAAAAACGAGAAGGTTTGAGACAGTCAAATTTTTAGCATGAAATGACAGCCGAGAAGGTAAATATACGACAAGGTAAATTATAATATACCGTATCCGGCGGATGGATAATACGGATATATTGTCGTTTAGTGTAATGCGAGCTGTTCAATTGGTAATTTTACTTAGCGCTACTGGCTATCAATTGTACTTAGATTGGATTCATTATTTTAGATGTGTCTCGAGCGGTTAAGACCTATCTTGCTTTAAAGGATGCTGGTTCCGATTCCTAGCTTCTGATATCTCGCAAGCCGATCGGCGAAAGTAAGAGCATGATTAGAATATTTTATTATTCAGTTGATTTGTCTCCAATTGATTTCTAGCTCGATATAAGATTCCAATGATTGGTATTAATTACCATCAATGTTTACATAGTTAAATAAATATATGATGCAGCTCTATTTTATCATCAAGGTGATTATGTAATCTATTCGGTTCAAATGATTAATTAGAATGAATGACATCATGAAGGGATGTCACACAACCTCACAAGAAGAAGTCTTCCCGGGTGGTCGAAGTGTTTCATTAGATACATTTACAATAATTCACATAATAATTTAAGACTACTTTTGATAAAAAAAAATATACGTTTATCAAAAAGATATGTATCTATCGAAGGTTATATCACAATAATCACAATAAGTTAGAAGATCTCATAGTACTAGGAGCACAGGTTATTACTTCAATTTATAAAATGAGAGGAAACAAAATTCAATTTAAAGGGAAGATAATTGTTAAGCCACCTTGAGTCGGGGTTTGGGAGTTAAAGTGATATATGATAAGGATAGATTAATGATATCATGATGTATTCAGTTGTCTGAACTACATTTGCACGGCAAGTACTGTCGCGTGGAGTAGCTGACTAGTTTTGGTCGTCGTTTCATTTCACATTTTGGTATCGCTGTCTTCGTTCGTTCGTTGCATGACATTCGTGTTGCTCTGTCGATGCTGAGGTCGGTGTTTGAGATAAGATGAGGCTGTTAAGTTCTTCTCGTATCCTCAATAATTGCGAATGTGTTTTCAACAACTTAACAATGATTTGTTTTATTGAAATATTCACTTTGTTTTTGAAGCTTTTCAACTAGAAACGCAATTTGTACTCTGTTATACATGCTTATATATTGATGCTTCGTCTTCTATTCGTTTTTTGTTTTTGTTACCACAGAAGTCTTTTTGTCTTCTTCGTATGGGTGTTTTGTGCCTTTGTTGGCCTTACTCCCTGAATGAAGGTGATCGACTTTTTTATTTGAAAAATTCAAAATAACACGTTTCAACGATGTTTTTGCATTGGTCGCGATCATCGTATTTTGTGCAGTGTCTGGCTTTTTGTGTTTTCAATTAGTTTCTTCTACTGTAGCTGCACTTCCCTCCTATAGGCTATTCAGGCAATTTGCTGGTTCGCCTGAGCAAAATTTGGCATCAGTTAGAATTAAAATTGATGAATTTCAGTTTTTCATCAAATTTGTTGATATTTATGATGTTCTAATTAGCTTTTAAAGTTCGCGTGTTGTTTTTCAGCATTGCTTGTAACCTTTCAGGGTTGTCCTAAGAATTCCGTTGGATCTTTGCTGGCTCATTTGAGTGTTTTCTTTCCGCATTTCCGCAAAGATATCCCTCGAAAGTTATTTTTCTTGTTTTTCCTATACTAATACATGGGAATGTTGAGAATTGATGTATGGCACCAAATTTTGGTCTGCTAGTGGACCAACTTCGTGCCTGTTCGTCATTGGTGATTTGAAAATCAATGAGCCCAAAAATTTTGAATTTCCTTCGACTCGTTGATGGGGGGCGAAAAACTTTTTTATTCGTAATGCTTTAACATGGGCAACAGGTGGATTTTTCGAGATCTCTCGAAGTTTTTTTCTCCTAGTGGACCAGCTTCCAACAGGCTCCTTATTAGGGTTCTGGAGATCAATCGCACCAAAATTTTCAAAATTCGTCTACATGTTTGGTGGGGGTCCCGAAATTTTTTTATTCGTTATGTTAATACGTGGGAGGTTGAGGTGTTGTTTAATATCTCGAGTTCTATTCATTTCCTCCTCCGCCGGGCTTCTGGAGCCTCCTCATTGGTGATCCTGGGATCATTGGTAGTGAAATTTTCAAAATCAATTCAAAAGTTTGATGGGGGACGCGAAAATTTTTTATTCCCCATCTTAATACATGGCCGGAGTGGGTGATTTTTGAGATCTCGGCTTTTAAATATTTCCTCCTCCGCCGGGCTTCTGCAACCTCCTCATTGGTGGTCCTGGGATCATTGGTAGTGAAATTTTCAAAATCCATTCAGAAGTTTGATGGGGGACGTGAGAATTTTTTATTCCCCATCTTAATACATGGCCGGAGAGATCTAGGCTTTTAAACATTTCCTCCTCCGCCGGGCTTCTGGAGCCTCCTCATTGGTGGTCCTGGGATCATTGGTAGTGAAATTTTCAAAATCCATTCAGAAGTTTGATGGGGGACGTGAGAATTTTTTATTCCCCATCTTAATACATGGCCGGAGAGGGTGATTTTTGAGATCTCGGCTTTTAAACATTTCCTCCTCCGCCGGGCTTCTGGAGCCTCCTCATTGGTGGTCCTGGGATCATTTGTAGTGAAATTTTCAAAATCCATTCAGAAGTTTGATGGGGGAAGTGAGAATTTTTTATTCCCAATCTTAATACATGGCCGGATAGGGTGATTTTTGA